AGGTCAATTTTTACACTGGAAAAATTTAAGAATACTAGAAAAACTCAATGAATATATATATATATATATATATATATATATATATATATATATATATATATGAAAAAAAACACATTTGTATGTATAATATCTCACTATCTCACTTTCTACCCTCTCTCTCTCTTCTCTCTCTCTATATATATATATATATATATATATATATATATATATAACATTCCTACAACTCTACATACATAAAACAATCCATACATTCAGTTAAAAGTAAAAATAAAATCATCCTTGATAATGGCTAAAAGTATAACTAAAAAATTCAGACAATTTCTACATAATTTATGTTCAGAAAAGAAGAAAATTATAACAACACAAGAAAAATTAAATAAAAACTTACCTGCAGTACCTTGTCAGTCATTTTTTATGAAACTTGTATAAAAGAGGGATTGCTGCCCAAATACAGAATTATATATGTGTGTGAGTGTGTGTGTATATGTAATATATATATATATAGTGATTGCCACATCTTACTCAGATTAAAACTCTTCATCTCACTGCTCACATCATTTGTGATGGCTTCTGTTTTGTTTCAGTATCTATGGCCTCTATCAGGAAGAAGCCAGAATAAGATGACAGAATATAGTGAAACAATGAGATAAGATGCTGAGACATCTGCACATCATTATATTAGAGTGACAAATGCTTGTGCAACATGGGTGCCATTCTCTCAGTCTCCATGATTAATACTCAGTGACAAGCTAAGCCAAGATAACTAGTAATCACTTCAACTACAGATTTTCCTGAGTTTTCCTTCTCATCAGATGTCACACACACACATACATACATGACATCATGCTGCATATGGTAGATGGCTGTTGATACCCAGAGAGGATTCATTTGCCCTTTCTCAAGTCTTGTTTTTTTATCTTGCTGGGAGACTAACCACCATCTATCTATCTATCTATCTATCTATCTATCTATCTATCTATCTATCTATCTATATCTACAGGGTGCAATGGATAAATTGTCATCTAAATTACTTAATGAAAATAACACTGATATCTTGTCTTAGATATATTTACCAAAACTGCACAAAAATATCTTGAAATACTAAAGAGTAAATTTATTCAATAAAATTGCCTTTGTTTTCAACCATGGTCTCCAGACAACCGCAGAATTTCCTGCAACTCTTCTGGACAGTCTCATTGTTTAAGTTGGTGAATGCTACCATAATCCTTGCTTTCTGTTCATCTTTGATGTTACAAGGAGTTTTTTTGGTCTCTTGCTCAACTGTGCCTCACACATAATAATCAAGGGTGTTGCAGTCTGGGAAGTTAGTTAGCCAAATGTAAGTGGGGATGTGGCTGGTAAAATTGTCTGGCAGCCATGACTGGGTTCTCCTGCTTGTGTGGCATGGTGCAGAGTCCTGCTGACAGACATATTTATGCATTTAATGTGTTTTTTTGTAAAAATCCCTTTTGTGTTCATATAATATTTTATTTAAATTAATTGAGGTTTCTCCTATGTATTCTTTGTGGCAATTATGACAGGAGATAGATTAAATTCCTCCTTCATGTTTTAGATTATTATTTTGTTTTGTATTAAGTCTTTTATTATTTTAGACATAGTTATAACAAATTTTATGTTGAGCTTAGATAAAATTTTTCACTAAAATGTTCTTGATATATAAAAGTTTATATGTTGTTTTTCCATATATATATATATATATATATATACACACACCTGCATATATATGTGTTACTTTGTACACTACTCTAGAGTTGACCTGATAGCCAAATATGTCACCTAGTCATTGGCCCTCAAGTTCCTTCAGACCACCATGGTTACTATTTAGCTGACTCTTCACTCATTAGTGCATGACTTGTTTTGTCACTTGCATCATGTTGGTAGCACAGTTCCACTTGACTTAGCTGGCATTTGTTAGTTCATGACCATTTACTTCTCTGCCATGTTGTGTTTTTTTTGATCGCAGAGGGAAAGAAGATCGCTGATGAAACAGACTAGAGTGAGAACTGGTTCAACAGCTGGACTACATAAAAAACAAGAATCCTTTGAAATAAAAAAAATTAACTCTGGTCAAAAATGTAAACAATGATTTCGTTTATATATGATTTGTTGTATACCAGCAATTTTAACCTTCCTACTTGTTGTTATAATCAAATGACACTGGGACCCCTTTGAAGTCTGCAGCTTATTTTAGTAGTAACTTAATTGGTTTGGTTTGGTTTGTTTTACAGCATATCAACCTCAATGAGTTATTTAATGCTGACAAAATGCATGATTTTTAACCTCTTCAAAAAAAATTACCTGTGTATAGTGGAACTGCATATTTTTGAATAAAAACAGTTTTTAAAACTTGTTCTATACTCAAATATGTACGGTAGTTTTGTTATCAGCATAAATACCTACTTAGGAACTGATGACACTGGGATCCCCTTCAGAGTTTGCAGCTTGTTTTAGTAGTAATTTAAATTTTCAAGTTCTTGTCTTCATGCCCAGCACAAGGTTTTTGGTCAAGAGGTTTCGGCAAATGATGTTGATACCAGTGTGTCTTTCTCCATCTCACTTCTTTTTGCGTCTATCAACTCTTAACTGTTTCTGACTCCAAAATCTCAAACTTATATGGAGTCCTGCATCCGACAGGGGTTGGGGTGACTAGGGTCTGGGTTCAATTGTCTTTTACCCTAAGTATCAACCTTTTCTAAATTTCCATATATAAAAATACATTTACTCAAATGGTTTTTTAAATTTGGGGTTGTCCAGCCCACTTTTGAGAGTGGTCAGAGGAATCACGCCGCCCTTCACTCCTACTCTCTTTACACTTCACCTTGTACATCACTCTACATAGGCAGTGCTAATCTCTCTCCCTCTCTTTCTTTTTCCTTCTCCCTTCACTTCCTTCTCTCACTTTCTCAACAGTCAAATTTAGCTTGGCACTGGAGTAGTAAATCCAACTTCCAGATGGTGCAGTGAAGACAAAAGTGATTTTCATTCATTAGTCCTTATCTATTGGCTTGCCCCATGCTGGGATCCTCTTGATTGATCAGACTACTCAAGAATTGGAGAAAGAAAAATCTATTTCCACTCTCCTTAAAAAGAAAGTTTATCTTTTCTCTGTCTTATGCAGTTGTTTTACAATCAAATATGAGACATAGCTTTTTGTTCATGGTCACTTCAAAATAGTAATTAATTTTTTCTTGCCACTTGTATCCAAGGTAATCCAAATTAATGATTGGATATAAAATTTTCTCTGGACAAATGTCATCAAAATTATAATGATGAATATGTGGAGTTTCTTTTCTTCTGAGTGGTTGATTTGAAACATGTTTTTATTTTATTTAACATTTTTACAGATACCTTAAAGGTCTCTTTCTTATCAGTGGGAGGGGGGGAGGACAGGCAGTCTTGGGTTTGTTCAATCTTACTGGATATCGTCTAGTTAAATCTGGGTTTGATTCTCCTTGGAATTATCTCAAAACATGATTTTTCAACGCATTTCGTTTTTAATCTTCTCAACTTTTCAATCCATCTTCCTGCAATTTCAACAATTATCATCCAGTTAGTAGACTCTTCCTTCCTTCTTTCTTTCTTTCTTTGATCAACCTCCAGTAATCTCAGTGTCACATTTTATTAAGTATGCTCTTCTAGGACTCTACCAATTCCTATTGTCATGGATTCAATCATGTCCTGTAAGCACTCTTTTGAAATTTTGGTCCCTTCACTTATCATGGTATCCCCTAGTTCTGTCAGATTGGTTGTTGCCTGCATATCCAGAATTCAAATCTTTCTTTCCACCATATTCTAAATGTGTTCTTCTTTTATGTGCTATGTCCTTTCATTTTTGTAAGTACAAGCAGCCATACATGGCATTATCAGAAAATAATAGCGATAACTATAGTAAATTTGAAGCTAAAATTTCTAAAGTTCAGTAAAACTGAAATGTTATGGAGAATATTCAACATTACAGAGAATATTTTCCTAAATTTTTGATTACAGACTAAATTAAAAACCTGAATATAAGAGACGGAAAAAAGAAACCCATGGATATAAGAGAGATTTCTCTGGTCCCAAATTAGAGCCTATTTTAATGTATATAAAATAGACCAAATGGATATAAGAGACTTTTCTCTGGTTATGAAGATCTCTTATATCCGGGTTTGAAATATCAGCCAAAAACATGTGCTCATCATTTTCTTCAATTATGTTTTACAAATGCATTCTGGAGAACAGTTATAGATATTTTACATTGTCAACACATCAACTGTCATCATCTAATAAACATGTTCAATGATATTTAAACTTAAAGTTTTAAATAATATTTGTTTCAAATAAGATTAATGATTATCTAAATCAGCTAATATATTTATTCAAACATTCCATTTAGAAGAGTATATTTTATTTTTGGAAGATTTTTTAATAAAAGAAAATTACATTGTGATGAAAGAATTTAAAAAAAGGGGCATTAATCAACTTTTTAAAAAAAAAACTCTTTCCAGTGAATTTAAATTGTTTTTAAAATAGATACTAAAAGTATTTTGCTTATTGGAATTATTAAATTTAAAAATTAGCTTGAAATTAAATAAACGAATACCAAATTGTTAATGTAAACCAATTAACCTCGGTATACTCTTTCAATACATGTATCAACTCCATGCCCTACTGATTCTCCACTTCCTCAAAGTTGCTTTCTTTGACCACAAAAAGACATTTCGTATTGTTCCTCTGTATCAGCAATACAAAGAATTTTATCTTAACAATTCTTTTCTTCTTGCCTCACTAGCGGTACTTTCATTTTTGTTCTCTTGTGCCACCATAGATGCATTTTTAACATATATATCTACATTACTCTTTCTCTCTACACACATAAACATGCACACACAGAGTATGTTTAATTCAAATAGTTATATTAGGTAGATACTGATCTTAGCCAAAATATAGATCACCCTGTGAGGATGAAAATCACCTTTGTTGTTAGACTATTTTCTTACCTATGATACAATAGCATATTGGCAGACAGATAGATGGCTAAATTGATAGATAAGAACAAACTCTGATAGATAGATAGATAGATAGATAGATAGATAGATAGATAGATAGATAGATAGATAGAAACAGGTCAGATAGATTGATAGATAGAAAGATAAAAGCTCAGATAGATAGATAGATAAATGAATGATAATGAATAGATAGATAAGATGATGCAGATAGATAGATAGATAGATAGATAGATAGATAGATAGATAAGAAACTCAGATAGATAGATAGATAGATAGATAGATAGATAGATAGATAGATAGATAGATAGATAAGAAACTCAGATAGATAGATAGATAATACATGACATATTTAAAGAAGGGATGATGAAAAATTCTCAGCTTAACCTAAAAGGGAATAAAAAAGATTCTTATTTGATCAGATTTTGGAATGTAATACATGTAAAAAGTTTGTGACTTAGCTGATTGATGTTACCTTCAGCTTCCTGATACCAGAGTTTCATAGACAGACCCTTCCAAGAATATAAAAAAAATTTATTGTTCATAGAATGAAATAAGTTGTTTTCAAAAAATCAGTACAATGCTCAATATTAAAAATACGTACTTTAATAATGAATAGATCCAAAACTAACTGCTCATTCTAAAATCAACTAGGATTTTGGTGATACAGATCTACTCATCAGAGTAATATAAAATAGATTTATCTTCATCTGACAAATAGATATGCATCTGTGAATTTCCAAGTTGGAAAATCTTTTTTGTAAAACTTTTTGAATTAAAGTTCTTTTCTATATATATATATATATATATATATATATATATATATTTACATATTTTAATATCATATTTTTATTTCTCAAACATATCTGATTAAAACAATTATTTTCATTTAAGCATGTCAGATTAAATAATGTAGACAGAAACCACACTAAATTTAACTCATTCGCAAAAGATTTTCTGCACTGAACTAAAAAACATTAAACAAATTCTTAGTAATAATGACTTTCCAAATTACATTGTTGATGAACAAATAACGTGTTTCCAACAATTTTTAATATAAATCAAACAGAACATAATACATCTTCAAATAACCCTAAACATATTAATCTTTTATATCATAATCAGATGCATTATAAATAGAAACAAGATGAAAAATCCTACAAAAACTCATAAACACTGATATATCCTCACAAACCCCAGTAAAAAAATAAAATTAATTATATACTATACTAAATTTAATACAACTAACTTTATCATCCATAATAACTCCTCCTCATCTATTGACATATTGTAGAAAACCAACACTATCTGTCAATTTAAATGTCCCTTGGATGATTGCATCTCTTCCAAAAATTAATGTATATGTTGGTCATTCTACAATAACGTTATCAAGATGGTTCATTCCACATATGCATAATTCATCATCCATTGCACGACATCTACAAAAAATTCCTGTCCACATTCACAATTTAGAAGAATATTAGTTGACAATACTCATATACTTCATCCAGAACTTAATAAGCAGAAACTACAAATTCTCAAAGCTGTCTTTATTAAAAAATTATAACCAACACTTCACAAAATTAACTATGACTATAATAGAAATGTTCTGAAATCCATATCATATATAGTTCTTTAGAAATATCTACAACTAAACTGTTTGTTAAAAACAAGCAAATTATAACCTAACGAATTCAATTCTTAAATAAGTTACCTCCCTTGCATTAAAATATTTACAATAGGGAAAGTTTGAAAAAATCACCCTTTGTGACTTTGTGCATGAATGAAACTACTAACAGTTTAACCACAAAAGCAAAAATTAACTTCGGACAAACACAACTATTTGTCTTAGCCACCCTAAAACTGAAGATGATATTGGAATATATTGAAAGTACCCAGAAAATTAAAAATGAATAAATATAACCATGATACCTTCCTTGCTCTCTTTAATCATGAAAGAAAAAAGCTTATACATGATTACAAAAGGATATTATTGAAAATAAACAAATACAACATGTCTAAATTGTTTAATCAGACATGCTTAAATATATATATATATATATATATATATATATATATATATATATATATATATCATACCACAGGTTCACCCAAGCCTTTTGAGGAAATTTGTAGATGGAACTCTTGGTGAGGGGGGGGGGCAAGAAGCCATGAGTCATTGTGGCTGAAAGCTTGAGTGTGCTGGCCTTGTTCAGATTGTTGATCATGCTAGATAATGCGCCTCTCAGAAACTGTAACTAAGGTCTGCTCAGCATAGTTGCAGTATAAACCACAAGTGGGCTCTGTGGGTGTTGGAATAAACACAAATGTGCCTGAGCGAGCGTCTGCAATAGGGATTGCCTAGTCGCCCTAGTAGACGGGTATCCCTTTAATATGAGTGGCCAGGTATTATTATTATTATTATATATATATATATATATATATATATATATATAGATAGATAGATAGATAGATAGATAGATAGATAGATAGATAGATAGACATTCAGGTAATTAAAAATAGGATTTAAACTGAGAAAGAAAAACTTGAATATGTATGGTGATAGACACAAAAAAACTGAAATTTCTTTTCCAATGATGTTCACTCTGTACAAGAACCAAGAGCCACTCATGATAGAGAGTTAGAGAGTAAGAGGCCCAATTTATGGGGATACATGAGGAAGATACATAGATCTGAACAGGTTAAAATTGTAGTGGTCAGAGAAGCATCCTCTTGGAAGTTGATATAGGAATAGAAAAGAAAGAAAGGAAAAAATGCAAGAAAGGACTGAATATGTATGATGATAGAAACAGAAACAAACTGAAATATCAGAAAAAGAATTGAATAGATGATAGACACGTGAACAAACTGAAATATAGGAAAAAGAAAGAAAGAAAAAAAGGAAAGAAAGAAAGAATTGAATAGATGATAGACACATTGACAAACTGAAATTTATGAATAAGAAAGAAAGAAAAAAGAAAGGGAAGAGAAAGAAAGAAAGAATTGAATAAATGATAAACACATGATCAAACTGAAATATAGGAAAAAGAAGGAAAGAAAAAAGAAAGAAAAAATTGAATAGATAATAGACATGAACAAACTGAAATATAGGAAAAAGAAAGAAAGAAAAAAAGAAAGAATTGAATAAATGATAGGCACATGAACAAACTGAAATTTAGGAATAAGAGAGAAAGAAAGAAAGAAAGAAAGAAAGAAAGAATTGATTAAGTATGATGATAGACACATGAACAAAGTGAAAGAGACAGATCTTTTACCTTCCCTCTTCCAGGGGACTCCTTTCTATAGCCTTGGATTATCCACCCAGAGTATTTGTGATATCTGCTCATGTATTGCTGATATAATCTCTGAATTGACTGATGAGTGTACATGCTGCCTTTCATATATTGATTTGTCTCTTACGAATTCTGCATATCATTTATAATTCATCCTTCTTTTCTCCCACCTGCAAATGTCTGGATTCAGTCGGTTACCTGAGCTTGCATGCACCACACGAATGGATTCAGCAGAGATTAGAGAAATAAGAACATAAAGAAATGATAGCTTTACCTGCAAAAAAAGAAAAAATAATTGCTGGGAGGTAAAAAAGAAAAGGTAATTTTAACAAGCATCACTGCTATCAGGACATATAAAATTTATTACCTACGTCAAATAGATTTCCCTATTATTTTTGGCCCCATTGTCTTTTTATTCCTTAGATAAAATGAGTGTGTGGGTGTGAATATACAGGGTGTTTAAAAAACATTGATATCTTTTTGTTATCTAATAACTTGACCAATTCTTGTTCAAATGATCTCAGATTTTAATAGCATGTGTAGAAACAAACCAAAATTCTATGTATACTCTTTTGGATTTTTTTTTTTTTTTTGCTTTTCAGGCAAAGAAACAGCATTCACTGGAAAAGAAAAGGCATTTTTTGTGTTAGAGTTTTGCAAACAGTTGAACAAGACTTTTGCTAAAACTGCATTTACTGCAATGTAGATTTGACATGGGCACAAAAAATTTCAAAGAGAAAGGTTGTCTGTACAGGACAAAAGGGTCTGGACAACCACCGGTATCAGAAAAAATGGTTGAGCAGGTTTGGGAAACATTTTTGTAAAGCCCCAGGAAGTCCATAAGAAGAGCAAGTCTGGAAACCCAGATTTTTTTGAATAACAGTTTGGCATATTGCAAGGAAACGCTTGTGAATGACACCTGAAAATCTGCAGTTCTTTCAAGCCTTAAAGAGAAATGGCAAGTAAAATATTGATATTGTTGATATGCAAGAGAAGTGAAATCATTCATAAAATTCAGATACCTTTGAATTTCTCAATCAAATTTTGATAAATACATCTTATTTTGCTCAACAAGAAGCCTGTTTAGTTTCACTTGCCTAGACTATGTAGTTACTCAGATATTTGCATCTCATATGATATCTAAGTTTTTGAAACACCTTTTATATAATGAGAAATGAACATATTAAGAGAAATAAATAGACTGGATTATTGATTGCTGTTGTTAATAGATATATCTGCCATTATCAAAATTTTAATATTTTGCTCTAGATTTTATTAGCAAAAAAAAACACAACACTATAACTTCATATGACTGAAAAAAACTAACTCTGTCTAAAAATATGTTTTGACATTATCTTAAGGTTAAACAAAAGATAATAAAACCAATTATCTATGTTTGATCCTTACAGCATGCTCATTAGATGCCAGCTTGTTTCATTGGGTTTCTATGTTCATCTTTACTTGTTGGTGGGGTGTAAACATGACACTGGAAAATTGAAACTTGTACCACTTTTGAAAACTAAACACATTTACCAACTGCAGCAAGTTCATGCCTTAAAGACAGATAACAGGCAAAAGAGCGCAAGCAATTCTGTGTGTCGAGAATATGCAAGAGAAACTTGAAAAAGATGTGTTTGAAGAATGTCTTCTTTTCATCGATGGGGGTCACATTTCATATAAATGGCAAAGTCAACAAGCATAATGCAGCAAGGCATACTCCAGCATGTTTGGCAAGAACTCAAAAACCAACTTGACGTGTGCTGGGTCACAGTCGGTGTGCATACTGAAAACCTGTGAAATCATTCATGAAATCCACATACCTTTGAATTTCTCATTCAAATTTTGATAAATAAATCTTATCATGTTTGGCAATAAGCCTGTTTAGTTTTATTATTAGATTATGTAGTTACTCAAATATTTGTATCTCAAATGATATCAAATTTCCTGAAACACCCTGTATATATAAATATATATATGTCTATGAATGGGGTATATTTAGGCAGCAAGTATTCATCCAAATAAGTTTGATTAAAAAGAATAGACAAGGTCAGTCTGTTTAATTTTTTATTATATTTTTCCAATTTTTGGATAAGGTGTTGTGTATTATGCTCAAAGTTGTGGATAAACTGTCCGAAGTTCGTGTTTTATTATTTTTATTCAAGTACTTTCGACTTTCTTGCAGTCATTATCAAAAACTGATGGGGTGTCTGTGTAGTAGATAGAATTCCTTTGTTGAGCACAATACTCAACACCTTATTCGAAAATTGAAATAATATAATAAAAAGTTAAACATACAGACATTGTCTGTTCTTTATAATCAAACTTATTTGGATATAGATATATATATGTGTGTGTGCATCTGTATATGTGGGTTTGTGGATTCATGTTTGTGCATCTGCATTTGCATATGTATATGTGTATTTGTGCAAGTATATGGTAGGCTAGATTTGTTTATATTACATGTCAACCCTTACTTGGTTATTTAATGCTGAATTTTGTGGCTGGGGCACCTAGTGAGGATCAAATTCATTTCTTGGTTATAATGCTCTACCAGACTAGCCTCACTAATGATTACTGTACGCGAAGCCAACTATTAAGTTATTTTGGTAATCTTATGACATCTCAACTCTTGTTGGGTTTTTTAATGTTGAATTTTGTATGGAGCACCCAGTGAGGATCAAATTAACCATTCAGTAGTAATCCTCAACCAGACTAGCCTCTCACACAATTACAACATGTGTATGTGTATGTGTGGGTATTAAGTGAGTCTGGTTGATTATATGTGAATTTGCTGTGGGAAACTTAGTGAGAATCAAACTCACTTCTTTTTCTTCTATCTGCTGCATCTGTTTAGGACATAGTTGATCATATCTCTCCACAACTTTCAATCTTCTGTGGCTTTTGGCAGTTTATTCTCCCTTTGCAACAACCACCCCCAACCCCACCGTTCACATAAGTTCATCGAGTAAGTGGCTCACTGCCTTCACCAATCTGTCTTGCTCACAGTATGCTCCATGAGGGTTACGTTTTCCAAGCCCTCCTTCTTCATTATGTATCCAAGAAATGCCTGTAATCTCTTCCTGATTTTGAATATACGTGTTCTTTCATTATTTACATTATTCGGACTATTGAAATGTTGAACGGTTAAGGCAGTGGAGAACTTTCAGAGGGAAAATTAACAGGAGATAACTGATAACTGACATCCATTAAACATGACACATGGAACTAGAACAGTCTACCCCAGTGAGCGAAATAAATGGTTAAGTTCGACATTCCAACCACCTGAAGAAGTCCGGAGCGTACAACGGTCGAAACGTTGTAATAAATATGGCGACAAAGATGAGGACAATAGTCCGAATAATGTAAATAATCTACATAATACCTCATCTCAGAAATATAGACAGATATTGAAGTGTTCTTTCTGTTGTCATTTTCTTTAATTTAAGACTTCCTTGTTGCTTACTTGACCCATCCATGGAATTTTCAGTATCCTTCTGGAGAACCACATTTCTACTGCCTCTAGTTTTTATCTCGTCCATGGGGAGACTATCCGGTATTCACTGCCATACAAGAAGATTGATACCACATAGCAACCAAGTATTCTTTTCTTTGTTTCTTACAACATTTTTCTGTTTCTTGGCACATTGCTTAGCTTTTGAAATGCCTCTTTCATTAGTCCAATGCATATTTCGATCCCATTGTTGAATTTTACATGCTCAATTAAAACACTTCTCAGATATTTGAATTTTTGCACCTGCTTGATATTTACATCTCCACTTCATAACTTGCATCTTAGAGCTTTTCTCTTGTCACATTTTCTGTCTTCTTGCAGTTAATGATTAGTCTTTTTTTCTCACTTTCTTCTATCACTCTGTTAAGAAAGTCCTGTAGTTTCCTTTCCGAGTTGGTCATCAACACAGTGTTGTCTGCATTCTTATATTGTTAAGATTATACCAACCAATAATAAATCCTGCTAGGGTTTCCAGTTCAATTAGGATAGCATATCTGTAGCAGTTGAATAAATCACTAGTTCCCAACCTTTTTAAGCTCATGACCCACTTTGAACCAAGGATTTTTCTGTGGCGCATGAAATTATTATAGTATAAAAAAATTACTTCCATTTTGTGGCCAATAAGCTGTGGTCCATATATTAGCTTGGTGTGGCCCAGTAAAAATTATAAAATTTCTGTAGCTCAATTGAAATTTGCCATGGCCATAGGTTGGGAAACACTAAAATAAATAACATTACTCAGTAATAATAGTCAATGTGATTAGACTAGTTAACAATTAACCGCATCCCATGGCACTATGCATATGTGGTCAGATTATATAGACAGCAAAACTGGAGGATTGGTTAGAATGAAAATGTACATCCCTAAAACTAGAACTCCATATTAAAGAATTCTAACAGCAAAACCTAATGATCTTATGAAATGGTTGGTAGAACAGTGATTAGCAGAGATAGTGAAAAGACAAACACAGTAAAAAGACAGAGCTACAAAGGACAAAAAATTGTGGAGAGCCATGATCACCAACATCTTGAAGGGACACAGCATATAGAAGAAGAAGAAGGTGCATGTGAAACTGGATTAGGAAAATAGAAAAAGTCAAGATTTGCTCAGATCTACAAAAAGGAAATTTGGAGAGCCATGATCATCAACATCCTGAAGGGAATATAGAAGAAGGAGCATGTGAAACTAGTTAGTAGAACAAGGATTAGAAGAAATAGAAAAAAGTCAAGATTTGCTCAGAGCTACAAAAGGCAGGAAATTGTGGAGAGCCATGATCATCAACATCCTGAAGGGACACAGCATATAGAAGAAGAAGAAGGTGCATGTGAAACTGGTTAGTAGAACAAGGATTAGGAAAAATAGAAAAAAGTCAAGATTTGCTCAGATCTACAAAAGGCAGGAAATTGTGGAGAGCCATGATCATCAACATCCTGAAGGGACACAGCATATAGAAGAAGGAGCATGTGAAACTAGTTAGTAGAACAAGGATTAGAAGAAATAGAAAAAAGTCAAGATTTGCTCAGAGCTACAAAAAGAAATTGTGGAGCCATTTCAACATCCTGAAGGGACACAGCATAGAAGAAGGAGCATGTGAAACTAGTTAGTAGAACAAGGATTAGAAGAAATAGAAAAAAGTCAAGATTTGCTCAGAGCTACAAAAGGCAGGAAATTGTGGAGAACCATGTTGGCTTTGAATGGCTGTAGTCCTCAACATCCTGAAGAGACCTGGCACATAGAAAGAGAGAGAGATTATGTGTATTTAGTTTCTAGTTTACAAAAAGAACACTTTGAACTTTTGTGCCCAGCTAATAATGTGTGGGTAGCTTAACAGTTATCAGCACAAAAAGTGAAATCAAAGAACCAGGTTCAAATTTCAGGTTAGTCTTTTGCATTTACATTCACATAAATGCCCCTAGGAAAGGTATGAATCTATCATTTCTCCTTTCAGTTATGGGTTAAATAGTGTAGATGGGACCCTCTAGTTTTGGGTGGCAGCCAATCTAAGAGAGAGAAAACTGAATTCCAAACCTTGGTAAAGGCAACACAAAACCACTCATTTATGTTTCTAATGAGATTGTAGCAATTCACAAATAATAAAGGAAAGGAAGCTGTGGAGAGTCATATTTGTCAATGTTGTGAATCTGAATGGATATGGTATTTAACAAAAAATATTCATACATAACTAAAATCAAATCACTGTATGAATGATGGCCATAACAAGTAAAGAATCTCTGGCTCTTAATCCTGGAGTTACATGTAAAAACTAATGTCCATATTTTTTTTTTTTCATGACCAATTTAATATAAACCTTAAGCACCTCTTGCACTCTAGGGCTCAAAATATATATTTGACCAAATTTCATGAAAAGGGGAATGGATAGCAAGTGAGATTCTTGACCTAATACAAGAGAGGCTGAAGATAACCCAAGAAATGACACAATGTTATTTTTTAACATCACATACAACATCCTTATACAAGGAAGAAAAATGGAAAAGATCCAATGTGAAGGATGATGTTTTTTTTTAATATTATGAACAGAAGTACAATATGGACTCAGATAAAAGCAAGCTATATATACTAGAGATGTCCAATAAATAGTGCCTATATTTATGTCTAAAAATAAGGAAAACACACTTTCATAGAATGACATTTCGCCTTCAGTCACTTTCCCACCACCATAAAGTTTCTTCCTGTGATTTTTTTGTAAATACTTTCATGTTAGTTCTGATGAACTTCCCTCTATGGTACTTAAACTTTATGAATTTAAGCATAGTACTAGATTGACAACAAAGTTGTATTTTATAGTTGAAATGGCTAGGTGTAACCGTAAGTTCTATGTTAACAATTTTTTTTATCACACTTCTCACTTATGGAACTCTCTTCTAGCTTCCCTGTCAACTTTGAACTTCAAAAATTTAAATGCAATGTCAATTGTCATCTTCTGTCTTCTTAATTCTTGTCCTTTTATTGTCGTCTCGCCTTAGTAGTTATTTTTTCTTATATTTTCTAACACTCAGTAACCTCTTGCATCTTAGTAGCTTTATTGCCTTGCTTGGAGTGAAATGATTAAAAAATGTTATATAGACAGATAATGTACAAACTGATATAGATATATATCAAGTGACTATGACAGATATTGAACTAATTTAGATATATACAGATTAGTCTAGGTGTAAATAGGCATATGTAGGCAATTTGACAATTGTGGCTAGGTAACAATAGGTAGACAGATAAATTGATAGATAGATATGTGCAGACTAAGATAAATAGATATGAAATGACTGCAACATATAGATAATAAAATTTGATTTGTATAGATTAATATAGACATGAATAGACATGTAGGCAGTTATGTTATGACTAAGGTAGCAATAGGAAGTGAGAAAACTGATATAGACAGACAGATATGAGTGAGTAGATAGATATGAACAGGTGGAGAGAGATAAAGTACAGATTGAGATAGATAGATAGATAGATAGATAGATAATGAACAGACTGAGATAGATAGATAGATAGATAGATAATGAACAGACTGAGATAGATAGATAGATAGATAGATAGATAATGAACAGACTGAGATTGATAGATAAATAATGAAAAGACTGAGATTGAGATAGATTTAAAGTGACTGCAACAGATAAATAATAAACTCAGATTTGTACAGATTAATATAGATATGAATAGCCATTTGCAGGCAGCGTGCCTGTTGTGACTAGGTTAATGATAGATAGATTGATAGGTAGATATAAACAAACTGGGATAGTAGTGAACCGCTTAAGAAAGATTACAAAAACAACCAAGAAAAGCCCTCACTGAAAAACTTTCCTGCGAGAGAAATGAAATGCAAGGAAAAGAGAATAAAAAGAAAATGGTAAGAGAATAAAATTGATAAGTAACACAGCAGCAATGAGAAATTCACAACAAGAGTGAGGAATTCCTACCAGGGAAGAATTAAGATGATACACACAGCATGGGTGTAAGTAGAGACAGGGAGGTTTGCAGAGAATTCTTAACTGTCACTGCTATTCACTGTAAGTGCCTACACAAGGCTGCATGAATAATCATAGCTTGCTTGTAATGAGAAGTGGAACCACTGAATGGCTCTCAGGGCTAGGAAAGAAATGGAGAGGTGCAGAGAGTTAGAATGTATGTTACTGGCCTGATATTTTTTTTAAGACAAACAGGTGTTGAAAGATCAGGCAAAAATGTGTGTGGAAGTAAAATTTTCAAGAAATGCAATAAAAATTAGAGTATAACATCAACTAACATCTTTCATTGATGTCTTTCTTTACTTTCCTGCTATCTTTGTTTCTTTCTTTACTGTCCTTTGTTTTTTGCTTGTTAACTGTTCTTACTTTCTTTACTATTCTTTCTTTTTTACTGATCTTTCTTTCTTTCTTTCTTTTTTGTCCCTTCTTTCTTTCTTTCTTTCTTTCTTTCTTGTCCCTTCTTACTTTCTTTACTGTTCTTTCTTTACTGTTTTTTCTTTACTATTCTTTTTTTTTACTGTTCTTTCTTTCTTTCTTGTCCCTTCTTACTTTCTTTACTGTTCTTTCTTTACTGTTTTTTCTTTACTGTTCTTTCTTTCTTTCTTTCTTTCTTTCTCTCTTGTCCCTTCTTACTTTCTTTACTGTTCTTTCTTTACTGTTTTTTCTTTACTGTTCTTTCTTTCTTTCTTTCTTTCTTTCTTTCTTTCTCTCTTGTCCCTTCTTACTTTCTTTGCTGTTCTTTCTTTACTGTTTTTTCTTTACTGTTCTTTCTTTTCTTTCTTTCTTTCTTTCTCTTGTCCCTTCTTACTTTCTTTTGCTGTTCTTTCTTTACTGTTTTTTTCTTTTACTGTTCTTTCTTTCTTTCTTTCTTTTTTTTCTTTCTCTCTTGTCCCTTCTTACTTTCTTTGCTGTTCTTTCTTTACTGTTTTTTCTTTACTGTTCTTTCTTTCTTTCTTTCTTTCTTTCTTTCTTTCTTTCTCCCTTGTCCCTTCTTACTTTCTTTGCTGTTCTTTCTTTACTGTTTTTTCTTTACTGTTCTTTCTTTCTTTCTTTCTTTCTTTCTCTCTTGTCCCTTCTTACTTTCTTTGCTGTTCTTTCTTTACTGTTTTTTCTTTACTGTTCTTTCTTTACTGTTTTTTCTTTACTATTCTTTTTTTTTACTGTTCTTTCTTTCTTTAATGTTCTTTCTTGTTCCTTCTTTCATTCATTACTGTTCTTTTTTTACTGTTCTTTCTTTCTCTCCCTCTTTCTTTCACTTCCTTTCTCTTTTTCCCTCTTTATTTACATGTGTCTGCTTGATTGTTTGATTTGTTTTTTACAGTTTATCAATTTTTGCAGTTTGTGTGTGTGTGTGTGTGTGTGCCTCTTTCTGTGTACTGAGTTAGCAATCCTTCATTAGTACATTTTTGGAGATAGACAACAAAAATGCTTCTTAAATTTATTTTTAATCTTTTCATCCTAAGCAAGGTGATAATACCACTGAGATGCAAGGGGTTACTAAGGATGAAAGACAACTGAATAAAGGTAATAGAAAATGTTATTTAGGCAAAAGAACAATAGAAAGAACACGATTTATGGTGATAGATAATGACAATTGATGTTGCATTTAAATTTTTGAAGATTAAGGCTGACAGGAAAGCAAGAAGCCAGAAGAGAGTTCTGTAGACAAGAAGTGCAAGAAAAGAAAGTATTAGAATAAAATACAATTACATTAAGTCATTTCAACAATACAATGATGAAACTTAGCTGCCAATCTGGTACAGCATTTACATTTGTGAAGTCCATATATCAAAGAAGAAAGTTTATCAGAACAATTGCCATTAAAATATTCATAGAAAAAAATACAGGGAAGCTACACTGTGGTGATGGAAAAGTAATTAAAGCTTAGATGCCAATATGGTACTGATAAAATTACAGATTCTTCTTTGGATTTTATCATGAATCTACAGATATCTAGCAAAAGCACCAGCCCAGATGTGGTAACAATATTCACTGTATGAATGAATGGTAGATATATAAAGATGTAAGATAGATTCAGGTGAGAAAAATTGTCTTGCACAAGATGGTGAACCAAATTTCTTATCAGCATACTCAGCAGTAATCTTTACTATTTATATCACTGTTTAGAAATTGTTGAGGGGTCCACCCCTTTTTATGCAAATGAACTCACCCAGTATATACATATACTACTGCAAGAGTGAGAGAGAGCAAGACCAACAAGTCCAGAGTGACAGAGTAAAAGGTTGTAGGTAACCGGAAGAGTGAGGTAACAGCGTTGTAGGAGTCACAGTGAGTGAGCACATAGACTCAGTAAGAAGTCATACGGCGATACTTCAATACCAAAGACTGTATATATATTTTGCTACTAACCCGTATTCCTGGAACTACTGACCTGTATTACCAGTTTGTATTATTACGTTAATACATTATTTTTCCTATATTCATTCCTGGTGTTTGTTATTTATTGGTACCAGATTTCAACCCAGAATCCGCAACAGAAATGTTAGACTAAGAAGGTGCAATAATTTACTCTCCTGGAGGTTGACATCAGCCATGGAAACCAAAAAAAAATTACTTAATATATATATTATAAATGCAATATCCATCAACCGGCCAGTGATTACTCTACAGTGGGTTTCCCTTCTTGTCATTGGTGTGCACTAAAAGCTGGGAAAGGGTCCACTGCATGTTTACAAGGTAACGAAGATGAAAAATAAATGCCACATTGAGAAATGAGAACACAAACCCTGTTGCTCATCTTACTTATTATAAAATACAGATTGTGTGTGTGTGTGTGTGTCTGTATGTTTATATATTGGATCGGATTTCCTACATTTTCAACTGATTTCAACAAAACTTCACAGGACTGTGTAAAATTACCCTTGGGTGGTTCTGACAGCGCCAAAAATTGGAAAAACACAATTGTTTTTGCATGAAATCAATTTGAAAACACGATAAAACACAAGTCTGTTGCCAGAATGAAAGGGGGACAACTCATATCGAGTTATACTTATTATAAAACCCAGGTTGTTTGTGTTTGTGTGTGTGTGTGTGTGTTCGTTTATATATGGGATTTTATAACAAGTTTTAAATTTTATAACGATTTCCTACATTTTTCAACCGATTTCAACAAAACTTCACTTTTTTTTTTGGCAGGTAGTGTTTTTATTGTCTTTTTTTTTTTTTCTTTATTTTACATTCAGAATGATTTAAAAATTCCATTTACAAGACAATTGTTCATAATAAAATTCTATTCAATCGATAGACTCATAACGATTGAAAACAATGTATTTGTTTGAGTTTGGGTTTGACCAATTTGAAAAAAAACAAAAAAAACTAATGCGTGTCTGTCAAGCTTAAACAATAATCTGTGTCAATTTTATTTTTCAGTCTTTATGATGGTCAATACTTGATCTATCTCGTACTGTTACATCCCCAGGCAATGCCAGGCTCTACTGCTAGTATTTAATGTAGATGCTTTATTCAAAGTTTCACCTCAGTGGATAGGTAGGTGACACTTAGACAACTTCTACTATGTTGATCTTATAGATCAGCAGTTCCTTCTAACCAACCCTTTGCACATCTACACATCCAGATATGTGGCAGACAATATGAATAGGTGGCATTGGAACCATGTGACAGACAAGTTCACATCCTGCCAACAGTGGATCAGAACTGACTCTCCAATCCCAAGTATGAATGATAAAGTAGACCAGCAACTAGATACGCTCTGTATCCGGTTTTGTTTTCTCTTAATCTCCAATAGACATCATCCACTCCACTGTTCTCCTTTGCTTAAAGTGGATGCCACTTAGAACATTTCAAAAACCATTTGCTGACCATAAAATAGAAATGATTGAAATAAAACTGCCTCTTCCTTTTCTTCAAGAGTATCCATAGTACCATAGTGGAATGTTAATGTTTTCACAATGTCACTCAAATTTTCAGGATATATTTATATGAGCAAAATATCACATAAATTTCATCTTATTATATATAGGATATGGAATTAATAAATACTAAACACTTCAGATACCTCAGCATATAGATCAGTTAGAACAGATTAAGTATTGGAGAAAAGGAAATTGAACATAAAACTGCACCAGAGGTAGTTTCACTTTACACTACAAATTGCTCCGAAACCAAAACATTAACCTGAAAACTCGAGTCATGTTCTTAAATAACCTCATCAGATCAAGTCTAGAGGTAGTTTCACTCAACATTACCACTTACTACAAAACCAAAACATTAACCTGAAAACTCAAGTCATGTTCTTAAATAGCCTCGTCAGATGAAGTCTAGGGGTAGTTTCACTTAACATTGCCAATTGGTACAAAACCAAAACATTAACCTGAAAAGTCGAGTCATGTTCTTAAATAGCCTCGTCAGATAAGGTCTAGGGGTAGTTTCACTTAACATTGCCAATTGGTACAAAACTAAACATTAACCTGAAAACTTGAGTCATGTTCTTAAATAACCTCGTCAGATCAAGTCTAGAGGTAGTTTCACTCAACATTGCCACTTACTACAAAACCAAAACATTAACCTAAAAACTCGAGTCATGTTCTTAAATAGCCTCATCAGATAAGGTCTAGGGGTAGTTTCACTTAACATTGCCAATTGGTACAAAACCAAAACATTAACCTGAAAAGTCGAATCATGTTCTTAAATAGCCTCATCAGATAAGGTCTAGGGGTAGTTTCACTTAACATTGCCAATTGGTACAAAACCAAAACATTAACCTGAAAAGTCAAGTCATGTTCTTAAATAGCCTCGTCAGATAAGGTCTAGGGGTAGTTTCACTTAACATTGCCAATTGGTACAAAACCAAAACATTAACCTGAAAACTCAAGTCATGTTCTTAAATAGCCTCATAAGATCAAGACTTTTATATGGATATCATGCAGAAAAGCTAAACTCTCAGCTGTATACAGTTACTTCCTGAGGTCATTAGTGAAAAAAGCTTTGAGTGAGTGAAACCTAAGGGCCTTGGTAATGATCATCCATCTTTAAACACAGATTCTCAAACAAAGAACTGTACCAAATAACAGAAACCACATCACTTGAGGACTACCAACAGCACAAACAACTAAAATGAATAGCACATGTAACTGGAAGAGAAAATAATGAATAATAAAGATGCAAACATTCCACACTACTTGTGTTGACAGTCATCTGCCTTTGTAGATACACTCAGGAGCTACAAAGGCAGTTGGCTCTCTGATTCTGAGTATAAGTGTTCTTTTTGTTACCATTTTATTTATGATTTCCTTGTTACTTATCTTATCCATGAAATTTTCAGTATCCTTCTGGAGAACCACATTTCTGCTGCCTCTAGTATTTTTCTCATCCGTGGGGTGATTGCTCAGCATTCACTGCCATATAAGAAGATGGATAATACATAGCAATCCAGCACTCATTTCTTTGTTTCTAATTAATTTTTTTCATTTCTCAGCACCTTACTTAACTTTTGGAATGCTTCTTTCACTAATCCAATGCAATGTTCAAATCTTGATGTTGCATTTTCCTCTGTTAAAAACACTTTCCAGATATTTAAACTTCTGCACCTGCTTCTTGTTAGTATCTTCAATTTGTAACTTGCATCATGGAATTTTTCTCTTGCTGATAACCATACTTTCTGTCTTCTTGCAGTTGATAGTCCTTTCTTCTCATGTTCTTTTGCTATCCTGTCCAAGAGGTCCTGTACTTTTCTTTCTGAGTCAGTCATCAACACAACAATGTCATCTGAGTATCTTAAGATTATTCCCACCAATAATAAATGCTGGTGGGGTCTCCCACTGATTTGGGATAACATTGCTGTAAAGCAGAGGCTCTCAACCTTTTTCATCCTATTGTCACTTTTTCACTGTTTTTCAAGGTAATCACCAATGCACATTTGTAAAAATATAAATTAAAATATTTTACTTACATTACTTTTTAATGTGATCCTTGTAGTTAATGCTTTGCTGCTAGAAATTTAATATTTGGTTTGAAATTTGTAAGTTTTACTTATATGCCTCCTTGAGTATATATATATCAGTTTTATTTCTTTCTTTGGTCAAGATTTTATTGATCCACATTCAACCAAATAAGAGGTTGGAAAGCATAGAAGTATTTCAGCCATTTCAGATCACATGTTCGGATACAGTTGTTTTGCTGTATTTGACAGCCAAAATTCTGTTATTCTGCCATTTTCAAATCTGTATTTACATTCATCATTGTGTTTCATTTCAATAGTTTTTTCCTGCATATTTTCACTGACAACTTGTATGTCACAAGTGAAAGGATCCATCATCCACAG